ATTCCACGCAGTGCGTCCATGGCGTAAAATCACGTTTTGCAGAAGCGTACTGGTACCGTTCTACCGAGCCTACCGCCGGGCTGTGGCGGCAGGGCCCACGTCGTCCGCCGGCAGCCTCACCTCGTCCTCCAGCAGCGAGCGCTGGATGGCCGACCAGGACGGGTCCGGGTAGTGCATCGTGGTGGTGGCCGAGCCGAAGTCGCACAGCTTGATCAGGCCGTCGTCGCCGATCAGAAGGTTCTCGACCTGGCGTCACAGGCGGGGCACGGCGTCGAACGTGGGCGGAACACGGAAGCCCGGTCCACACGATCGCTGCTCAGCTCCTGCGACCCGGTCACCCACCCACCCCCATCCTCCGGTTCAAAACCACTCATCCTCCACGACAAACAGGGAACTTACTGCACGACAACGCGCTATCGGGTCAACACCTCTCTCATTTAACCCCCGCCTGTCAGGGTCGCTGACGCCACCTGCCGAGCGGCGCGCCTCGCCCGTTGGTCGGGAGCGTACCTTCAAGTCGCGGTGCAGCACGGGCGGCTCCTGGGCGTGCATGTGCTGCACCGCCTTGCAGGTCTGGTACATGATCTGGCAGACCTGGTCGGCGGGCAGGGCGCGGCCGGCCAGCCGCAACACGTCCACCAGGTTGCCGCCTGTCGGGGAGCGCAGACGCACAGCTGACAGCGAGGCGGGGAGCGGCGCCGGGCACTGCACGAGCGGAGGCCGGCCTAACGGCACCGCAAACAGCATCCCGCCTGGTAGGGGCGTGGCTTCCGATTAAGTCAGATGGAGGCTTCAGTCCCCCCTTCCAACTTTCAGGAGCGCGGGCCAAATCTGAGCAGAAACCCGTTTGTTTGGGAACTTTGGGGGCATGCAGCGTCACATTTGTTCTCTGCTCAACCTTCCTCTGCCAACTCATGTTATGAAATCTCACCTATGCTACATCACCCAGCCAGCCAGCTGCCATGAAGTCTACCACGCTAAGAACTCACTCATCATGTTCAATGCAACAGCTGAAGGTTTAGTTTAACATGCATAAGCTGATGGTTTGCAAGAAAATTATCCTCCGTATTGGTTTTCCGAATCACATTTGTGGTGTTCCCAGGATGGACTAGTCCACCAAACAGCCTTCTGAACCTCTTTGACCAGCATTAGCGATTTGAAGAAACCAGTACATACCACCTAACCCTTACCTGTGCAAAGTTCTGTCACCACCAGGTATTCGTTTCGTCCATGCCCAGACTGGGCTTTGTCGATGGCGGCCGCCGTCAAATACCGAATGACATTGGGGTGCCCAGACAATTTTTTCTGAAGATGCAGCTAAGGAAACTGAACAGGTCATGAACAGGTAACATCACGAACAAACCTGGAAATTTCATGTGATCTCTATGGAATGATCCCTTTACCAACACAGTGAGTAGTCTATCTCACTCATCCTTCAAAAGCCACATTGATGATTTGTTCATGTAATGGCCATGCACTGGTCACTGCTGAGAGCAGTATGTGGTCAAGCATTTCACAAGGCATTTGACAGCAGCACTAAAATTTCAGTACATATATATATATATATATATATATATATATATATATATATATATATATATATATATATATACATTTGACATTCACATAGGAAGGTGTACCCTTGCTAATTATGCTACACCTTGACATTATTGTGTCTGAATCCTTTATGTCTAACCTTTTTCTGGCAGTTTGCATGACAAATTTTAGATTGAGTTAAAGTGCTTGTAAATAGTATCAGCTGTATGCATGCTGAGACCCTACACAATCTGTCACTTCAGTGTAATTAATTATTTATCTCCTGCCCTTTTGCCAGGCGGGACTGTAGCATGATTTAGATGTCAAACACTGCTGCAGCATGACCTCCGGGGCCTGGATTGACTCACCTGGCCAGTGCTAGCTCAAGTCAAACCAAACAACATGCCCATCTTGAAACTTGTTCCTAATATCAAGAGATCGAATATCATGCATATTTCCCCTGGCCATCCAGGCAGCGTAAGATTTGTCCCATGTTTAACTTTATGCAGAAAGCTATTTCCAGTTGAGCTATCTTGCATCTTGCAGCAATTTTCTGCACATAAGGGGCAGGACAGGAGCTGACTAATCATGTTCTTCATGTCTCAGCAGTCTGCTAGTTTACAACATTGCAGGCACAGACTACCTATCTCTACTTTAACCAAATTACCTACTTCTAATTTTTTGGCAGTATCCCTCTCAGATCTCCTTTCCTCCGCTCTACCTTTCACATTCTCTTGAAACCTTCATAGCACTGATATGTTGATACAGGCTTTGTTTACACAGGTTCATTAATACAGGTTTTGTTTGCACAGGTTTCCTAAATCAAGCTTAACATTATGCCTCATACAGCACAGCCTGATTAAGATTAACAAGTATTCTTGTTGCATGGGCCATGTTTTGATGCTCATATTGTCAGGTTTTCAAATGGATGTTTAAAAAGTCCTGTATGGACAATGCCCAGTTTATCTACCAGGCACCTTGTAAAAGTCATTGTTTAGGATAAGGATAATAAATATTTATCAAACTGACAGTGCAAGACAGAATGCAAAAACAGACACAAACATGACAAAACTGCTGTCTTTATTGAAAAAGGATACCAGTAGACCGATTTCTTGTCTGATGATCCTGTCCACGTCAGCATCTGAGCTGAGTAATCTCTTCAAAGCAAAATATTTGCCACTTGTAACTTCCTGAGCCACATACACAAATGCAAACCCACCTGTCAAAAAGCATTTGCACCAGTTAATAACAAGTCAGCATTACAAAGACAAGATAAGGACAAATTTAGATAACACCTGCCACCATTTATGATGCACTTACATGATAGGTGTACCACATCTTATACACACAATCACTTTACACATTAGCTGAGTAAATCTCACTTCCAACAGGTTCAGAAAAGTACAGTGCATATATGAGGAAATGCCATAACCATGTTTCATATTTGTAACCCGAGACATCAGAAAGATCTTTACTGTCAGTAAGTTGCTAAAGCTGCATGTTATGTTCAGTGAACTTACCTTCCCCAATTTGCTTCTTGACACGCATCTTAGCATTTCCAAGCTCAACAACTTGTCCCACAAACTCATTTGTTTGGACGGAGGATGTGTCATTGAAATAATTGAGAGCAGATTTAAATACAGACATACTGGCTATTTAGGAAGCCAACAGCTACCAGTGTATCAACAATGGCAGCCTGCTGGCAGCAAATGCCTGAGGCAAAAGTAATAAAAACCCTGTCCTGAAGTCAGTGGCAGCTGGCAGTAAGTTATCAGCTGCCTCAAAGCATGCGGCTTAACAATCACTCCTGAAAGAAAGCAAATAAATTAGCCTTGCACTCTAATCTGTCCATCACTGTAGCTTATCTACCGTGAGAATCCGATGAATCATTCAGCATCAAACAGGATAACTTCCCACGGCATGCTAACCGGCTGAAATCATTTCAAATTCCGCGACCATTTAGTCTCTGAATATGACGTTCAGAGTTTCGCACGATCCACCAATTCCAGCAAACGCCTTGCAAACCTTAACACGATCTATTTCCAGAACCTAGTATCAATTTATCAAACAACTGCGATGGCCACCCGCTGCTACCCAATTTCCCTAGGTACTTTTCCCGAACGACCAAGGACCTACCTCCCTGTTACGAACCAAACATCACATCCAAGTGCGGGTGGGCAACCAATGGAGGGTCTGGGACTTCGCTGAGGTCCCGAAAAAACAACAGCTGATACCACGCAAGAGAAAGCTTAAAGTTGCTATATAAAATGACCACGCATCAGCTTAGTTCGCTGAGTCTTAAGCCACACCATAAGGTGAGCTAAACAACCTATATATCAATTTTAAATCGTAATAGTCATATCTAAAATGCAGTTATTCAGATGTAGCTTAGAAGTGAAATTTATCCTGACGCATTTTGAACGACGTGGAAGAACTTACTCCACAATATTATTCAAATGCGCCAGGCACGCCGCAGGTCCGCAAACGGGGCCTGATGTTGTCCTCAGCCAGAGCACGTAGAGTCTCAGAATAGGTGGGGAGGTACGTGTGTTTGTGTGTTGAATGATGTAGTTGGGATGGCTGTTTGCAATTGAGATGATCGACTTCAGTTATCTTGGCAGAGTAGGGCGAGGGTCGCTTAATGCCATTGGGTTGAATGTCGTTGTCCCGGAAATGGGAAGCTGGTGGGTTTATTTCATTGCGTTACATGGCATTGTGGTAAACATACTGCATAGGTGGTAGATGGTAGGTAGGTAGGTACGTAGGTAGGTCAGTTCCAGCCTAGATGTGTGGCTACCATTGAAAGAGTGTGAGAAGTAGAGTGAGAGATACCCTTCTGATGTCTGAACCCGAACATGAATTATTTAATTCATGGTAGGGTTCATTGAACATTGTTGAACATTTGTTGTTCATTAAACAACCTCATACCTCAACCTCAACTAATTTGCCCAATTACAATTTTACTTGACTAGTAGGAGCTTGATTGAAGTCTTGTAATATTGCACAGGGGTCCAACCTTACTTTGTTTTTATTGACATTGTGATCGCTCACATGAAACCTACATGCTTCATGTGCTGTTACTATATGATATATTTGATATATATATATATATATATATATATATATATATATATATGCTGATATGATATGCTGTGCATTCATAAGTGTAGCAGAACAGCATTTCATTTTTCTTTAAATAGGCCTGTGTGGATTTTGCTCCATGAGCTAAAAGCATTGGACAGTGTGTATACACCCTCCAAAATAGAGGGCTGTTATGCTCCTGGCTTATACACCCTCTAAAATGGATGAAGACTATGCACAGGGCTTATACAATGATACACCCCCAAAAATTCTCCAGATCAAACAATTTACCTACTGAAATAATGAAAAGCTAGAGTTGTGAGTCAAAGAAGGCAGGTAATATTGGCTATAAACATCAGATGGTCATCAAATGATCTCCATCTAATCAAATGTTTTCTGTATTTCTGAATTGTATAAATTTGAACCTGAGAGCACAGTGGCCAGGTGATAGTGCATCTGGCTCATACTGACACCCAGTCCAAGCTCTTTCTTGTGGTGCATCACTCTGAACAAACCATTGTGAGCAGGTTTTAAGTCTTCAGCCATGAGGGGAGGTGCCACCAAACTTAAGCAGCTGCTTTGCTATCTATTCCACATTATCTCAACAGTATGCTAATTGTAGTTTGCATATATTGGTTTATGACCAGTTAATAAAGCTAACCTGGCAGTAAAATATAAAAGTGGATTTTTTTCCATGCTGTTTGAATCATTTTGAAACTCAATTTTTGCCATGTTCTTCCAAGTTCAATTTCCAATCTCTAGTCAATCCTTCACCAGTTATGTACTTGGGTATTGTGAGGACCAGTGAGATTAAAGATGTGATGAAACATGTGTTGAGATCTGCAACTTTCAGCCACTGATGATGCAACTGGGGCCCAAACTGAGAAAGCTGTTGTGACAACCATATATATAAAGCTTGGAGGGCAAGCAGGCAGCATTGCTAGGTAAAAGTGGTACTTCCACAATCTTGCCTGCTAAGACTATTGGCACCCAAGTAACAATGAAAATGCATTTAGGGTGGTGGTTCACATCTTCCAAGGTACAGGCAATAACCTCTCCTTAGCATGTATCTTGAGCCTAAATATTTTAAAACCAATTGTAGCACCAGCTGGGAGAAGCACTGAATTGGGGCATGTATGTACTTCATTGGATGGCATCATTGGGTATAGATTGGTTGTTGTGGTTGTCAGGCATAGACACAATCTCCATGCAACATTGTGCTGTTTACTTGTTTCGTAACTAACTACCCCATTTGTTTCAGGATACCCGGAAGTAGTTGGGAGTAGCACCTGGATTTGTCCACGTCTCAAGATCTGTTGACAATGGTATGTGTCTTTACTCATTTCATGTTTTAATGGCGTGTGTGCCAGCTTTGACTTTTTCTTTGTGTTCTGCCATGTGAAAACATGTGAACCTCATTTCAGCATCACATTTGGTTTGCATGTTCATGATGGAAAATACTGGGAACTTTGTGTCAAACCCACCATAATGAATGACTGGCAATTATAAAATTAAAAACCTGCAGCAATTTGGTAAAAGGCATGGTTCGCTGCATGATCGACCCATTGTGATGGTTTAGTTTACCATGACGGCACAGTGGATTGGACGACACAGCCCACTCGCCGTTTGAGAGCAATCTCCCAAACTGTTCACGGCATCAAAATGGAATTAGAGCTAGAGCAATTCGAACTGTTTTACACCAGACTAAGCAATCTCAACTGCGCAACATGCCAGGTTACCGACCCATGGCCGTGCTGCCAAAGCTCCGCGCGGCGACAAGTCGCAAAATCGGCGCTCCTAGACATGCTTTAAGTCGAGACATGTCCGTACGTTACGTGCACCGGACCATCTTCTGTCACGTGACACCTTGTCTTCAAAATGAAGGTCAGGCTGTTTAAAACCTGTTTTACTTGAACAAAAATGGCAGAGATCACAATGTCGGTGTAATGGTCATGAACGGGCAGAGTCGTGTCAATGTTCAAAACCCGAATGTTGTCATCTGACCTTTCAAAGCCTATCCATATTAGTCCTATATGAATATTCTATGTGCAATGTCATGTAGGTCTAGGTCACGGAAAGTCATAGAACTATCTCAGGTGACCTCAAATCACCCATTGGAAGTAGACTGCTTGCTTTGACCCGTATCGGCTTACCTCTGTGGATATTCAAAAGAACTACTGACAGCAAGCACTCGATTTAACCCCATGCAACCGGACATGACGCCAACCGTATTAGGTTTACTAGAGCATGACAACGTAACATACGTAGATCTAAGATCGGTAAGTCTTGTGAAGGCGTACGTCTGTAGCAAGCTGTTCATGTTACGGCTTGCCCCCCCCCCCCCCCCCTTCCCCTTCGCGCCTGGCGGGTGCGGACGGGTCTTCATGCATAGTGAAAGCGCCCGTCGTTCCCAGGCTCCCGTATTTGGGCGCCGTTGGTCAAGGTTGACTCTGTGATGCATGCCATTCAGGACCAGGTGGGCGGCTGAAAGCGAGGGCTCCAAGCTAGGTGTGACGCATGCCATTCAGGACCAGGTGGGCGGCTGAAAGCGAGGGCTCCAAGCTAGGACTGCGCTTTTTCTTCATGATTGTATCTGTATGCGAACCAGACTTGCGATCGTCATTACGCCGTGCTTGCGTCTGGGATGCATGACTGACGTCGAGTTTCAGTCCTCGTCGGACCAGACCCGAATCTGTCCTCGCCGTCTGATCGTATCGGGACGCATAAGTCACGTGACACTGTCGCGTAGCACGCAGCGATATCGGGCTTTGCAGGCCTGGGCAACCGCTTCTTAATTGAAAATTCCGCGGCACGGGAACGTACAGACCAGGGTATCTGAAGATTGTGGACCTTGTCGCAGCGTGGGTGCGATGCCTTACCTCACGTGCCAACCAGGTCCTAACTTAACCGCTTACCGAGTCCATCTTGTTTTTAGTAGTTACATCGTTATAAACGCAAAGGCTGGTAGCGGACTGTGTTCAATGTAATATATTTTCTCATCGTTTTTCTACATGCAATCAGAAGAGGAAAGCAGTCTGAAGCTACATGAGACGTCCATTCTCAACGCAGCATTACGATTTCTCCTCTTCGTTGGCTTTGTTTTCCGCTTCCTGCTCCCGTCGTTTGCGCCAGGCTTGAATATACGAACGAGGATGAACGGGGAAGAATCCGACCAACCCTGGAAACAAAAAGAATGGGTAGTCATTTCAAAAGCTGCTTTTTCTTGACAAGACCGTGCGACCAGCATGATTATGACGCTGGTCCGAGACAGAAAACAAAATGTGTTGATGACATCAATTTCATGAATAAACGAAATATTGTCAGAGTTCATAGTATCATTTTGTTATGCTGAACAGGGCCCATCGAGTCGGCTCGAAATATACAACTTCAGGTCGAATTTACCCTGCCCATATTCAAACGTCTCTTGCAGCCAAATTCACTTGTTTTTCATTTACACTTGGTTACGCCGCGGCCCTCCGAATGTCAGTAATATTCGTGGCGCGGATTGTGTTGGTCTGTGTCCGTTTGTGCGCGCTCATAATTAAAATCTGGTCACTCCCATGCTGTTGCTACGTACTGCTGCATGTTAACTTTCTGGTGATTCTTACCAAGTAGCTGTTGCACTGGCAGTGTCACTTCGACGCTTTTCCTCTGTCCAAGCCAGTGTTGGAGACGCTCAAAATTGATGGACAACAGGCGCTCATTGTTGATGTTTGGCATGGGGTCGTAAACCCCCAGCTGCTCCAAAACGGGACTCGCGTGCGCGCGCGCATGGTGTTTCTGCAACATAAGACACGTGTTGATGTGTGGTTAACAAATGGTTAGCCACTTTGCTTATTTACCCTGTGGGAGAAAATAGTGGTTTCTGATAGCACAGTCGTACAAAGCAATGTTGTGCAATGATTTGCTGTGATGATAGGTAGGCAAATAGTGCAAGTATTACTTAAGAATCTAGTTCTCTATGCACCTCACATTGTCATGCCAAGTGATCTTTAACATGACATTTGCTGCAACAATAACTGGGCAGGGGGGGGGGGTTTATTCCAGGCTTTGGCATTAGGGAAGGATAAGTGATTTAATTAGGTAGGGCTGGGGCATGTTGGTGTTTGGGAGCTTCATACTGCTATACTATGTCTACATCAAAGCAAGGTTCTGCATCTCTGCCCCTCTCACTGGTGATGTTCCTGGGGAGAACAGTTGCTGCTGTGTAACACTGAACTATTTCTTTAAGTAGCTACTTCAAGACTGTTACCATTAGTTTGCTGGCAATCACTAATTTGAAGGATATTTGCAGGTAAAATATTTCATTTCAGGTGAAGTAAGCTGCTCAGTGTTAGCTCAGCTGCCCTTTCTCAGCCAATTGTTAGTTGAACGCCTTTGATAAGGCAAATGCCAAGCTGATTTTCTGGGATACAACGCTATATCTGTGACACCATTGGACAGATGCCAGACCACAGGGGACCACAGAACATAAATTGCACAGCTTTGCAGGATCAACATGTGTTAAGTGTGTGGACAAATATCCTGAAAACCTGATGTCATCTGTCTTTTAGTGTTGCCTGCACAGGTTTCCATGATATTTTAGGTAAAGTCCTGTTTGAAAACCTTCTCAGAGTGGTTGCCATCCTCCCAAATTGATATTTGCCATGTACACCACAACATAACTTGTGATATGCATAGCAAACAAGCCTAGAATGGATTGACATGATGTTGACTGGTGTGCTGCTGTTTGAATTTCCCCAGGTGGGCAGACATGGTACTATTGTGGGGTGCCATAAAAGTCTGCTCTCTAAAACCTACCAAAATGAGAAGTGCTGACCTGACATAACCTTGCTGAAAGGTCCATTGGTGCATGCTGCAGTGCACTATAATTGGTACTGTGCATCAATTAGGTTGTTTCAGACTCAATGTCTTACATCATTTTGATTAATAAGTTGTGATTTCAACATATAGACAACTCCATCAATATAGCTAGATTGGTGGCAATGCTCAGATGTGGCAGCAAAATGTCATGCCAACCCACATAAGCCGACATGGAATATAGGCATCATCCCCTCATTACACACATCTTTTCACACTGATATTGCAGGCATTTTTGGGTGGAATATTGCCTATGGCCAAGGTTATGCTCATGCCAATCACTTCAGTAACTAGAACTTAGAAGTTAGGATGACTGCCACCCCATTAAGTTCTCTTGTTGGTTTTTAGAAAGTAGAGATGTTTTAATAGACATGTAACTCATTCATGAAACATCTGGAGAGTTTGAACTTTGAACTCATACCAATCATACCTGGCAGAATAAGATGTTCTGGGAATGTGGCCTGTTGACTACGGTTACTAACCTTTTGCAGTTGGATATGAAAAAATGGCCTGTTTGCGCATCCGTGATATCCCAATCTTATGGCGAGCGCGGCCCGATTCATTCTACCCATGGCGTCTTCTTGAATATTCAGCCTTCTATAACGCCACTCTCACTGGATGGTTTTGAAAACCAATATCGACAGGACCAACAAGCAAACGCGAACAGCGCGAGGACGTTGTGGATGGACCGACCGGGCCCTAGCGCGCAGTAAAACAGCAATCACGATAGAATAAAATGCGTCGGATTTACAGGCCGTGCGCCATATTCACCGCGCAACATTCTGACTGTAATAGAGATGGGCAAGTATGTAAATCCACGTATGGTACGAGTACAGCGAAGGAAAGTCTGTGCAGACAGCGGGATGAGCTCCGTAAGTGCGTTCGAATGAACTTACGTCGGAGGGTCGCGTTCTAAAGAGGTTCTGAGCTAGCAAGGCCGAGTACTCGGAAGTTTAATTGATGTTTCCATTGCGTCATCAAACCGGCGCAGCACGGGGCGATAAATGGGAACTATCGCGACAGCCGAAGTTGTGTGCTTGTGCCCAGTATTATGCCATCAAAGTAGTTTGTAGTACATCGATTGAATTAGTTTCGATGACCCATGTCACAAACCAGTTGCTAGATGTCTAGAACGCTTGGCTTCGGCTTGCAACTTAATAAATTTTATGAAACTCCGTTCCTGTGGCTTGGTTTCTAAATCGCTGTTGAATCAATGAAGCTCCAAACACATGTATGTTTGGTGCCCCTGAAACTTAACACCCTCATCCCCTTACAAAGAAGTGCCCTTGTTTTGGTCACTTTGTTTTTATATTCCTATGTTGTATCGGCAGTACGTCTTGGGCCGGAATGATCCGCCCGGTTCATTTCACGTCGTTTTAGACGCTTATTTTCTGTTATTTTTGTATGTTGGACCTGAAGATTTGGGCCGGTTTGTGGGGCCCATGAAGTTTGGCGCATCTTGAAGACAAAGGTGATGGGGACCCGAAATGAGGATTTGGTGCTCTTTTTCCACTAGATTTCGGGTCCCCTTCGGCCCAAGAGGGCATGACCCCATTCCCCCCCCCCCCCCCCATTCGGAATCCGCCATTGCATATGCCACTGTTTTGTTTCACGCCTCAAATATCTGCATAGCTTGATGAAGGTTCTGTCGTGAACGACGTGTGCAGGCTGTGGTTTCAATGAATTCGTTGGGTGGACGTATTTGCAATGTTGAATGTTATAACTCATGCGCGTTGCTTGTTTCTTTGGCATGCTTACTGTCTGGCGTTCACGGAGGTCTTCGTTTCAGGTGTCCCTCATCAGCACCGTCGATACGGGCCACGAGGATATGATTGTAAGTTTGTAAACCACTGGGCCAAATGTTCCCAGCATGTTTATGCTCGTGTTGATCTTATCCGTGCTTGTGTATATTTGACATATTTGCGAATATTGCAGCTTTGTGATCGTCATTGTCTTTTCAGTGGTTGCAAGATTGGCTTTGCAATCGCATTTCACCTTACGCAGACCACCCATGCTTACACGTGTTGGCCGTGTCTGGCCGCATACCCACTCATGGCTATGTATGGCCGCTACCACAGTGCCTGTATCCCGTCGTGTGGCTGTATGTGTCCGGGTGGCACGTGAGGCGATATGGGTTGTCGGTTGGAGCCCGTGCCAGCGGGCGGCGCCAGACGGCTGACCCGAGCCACCGGTGCCGCAGCACGACGCCCAGATGGACTTCTACGGCACCCGGCTGGCCACCTGCTCGTCGGACGCCACCGTGCGCATCTTCAGCGTGCGGAACGGCAGCCAGACGCTGGAGACCGAGCTGCGCGAGCACCAGGGCCCGGTCAGTGGGGTCGGCCGGGTCACTGCCGCACGACCGCGCTGCTCGACCAGCCCCGGGGCGTGCACGGGGCTTAGAGTTCATGGCGTGTGTGTTGACTAGCCGACTAGCCGACTGGTGAGAAAACCGCGCGGGGCGGGGACAAATCTTGTGTGCCGTCCCGTTTCGCCGGCTACGCCCGTTGGGTGAGGATGGGTCGGTCACGTAGGGAGAGAGAGGGGCGGCCAGGGGCAGCAGCACACTCAGCAGTGCCGGAGGTCAGCGCTGCGACGGCTGCAAACGCGGCCCACCACCCCGGGGAGACGGGTGGCGCCCCCGCACGCCGGCCGGCGGTGTGACTGACTGGCGCGTGTCTGGCAGGTGTGGCAGGTGGCCTGGGCTCACCCGATGTACGGCGCGCTGCTGGCGTCGTGCTCTTACGACCGGCGCGTCATCATCTGGAAGGAGACGGCCGGCCGCTGGAGCCGGCTCCATGAGTACGCCAACCACGACTCGTCGGTGAACTCGGTCTGCTGGGCGCCGTACGGACTGGGCCTCATCCTGGCCTGCTGCGGCTCCGACGGCTCCATCTCGGTCATCACCTACACCAGCGCCGGAACCTGGGACCCCAAGAAGATCAACAACGCCCACACGGTGCGTGGGTGGCCGCTGCCGCCGGTAGGGCGTGTGGGCGCCGCCCGCGGCGTCATGTGCAGCTGACATGCAGTTGTCTTAGCGGTGGCCGTTTGACGTAGCAGAGTGCTCCGTTTGGTGCTCCACAGTGTAAGGTCTGGGGTAGCACTCACGGGAAGTCCGTAATATCGTTGGATTTTGCATCGTACAGCGTCGTAGGTTTAATTGGGGGAGAGGAGAAATGCAGAGGGTCGAAGTCGGGCGGCTGCTGCTCCGGCCGTGTCCGCCCTTACGGCCAGTGTGCATGGGACGGCGCTGGGCCGTACACCAGACGACGGATCCCCGTGGTCTTCAGATCGGCTGCAACGCTGTCAGCTGGGCGCCCGAGGTGTCGGCCGGCAGCGTGCTGGAGAACCAGCCGCAGAAGGTGCAGAAGCGGTTCGTCTCGGGAGGCTGTGACAACCTTGTCAAGATCTGGAGGTACGCGCCGATGATCGCTGATGCCATTGCCCGCTATGCACCGGGGGACTCCTGTGTGCGACCTGTCCACATGGTCGATGCTGTTACCATTTGGGACTTGCGACGCACTTAGCAGCTGAGGTTGGATGGCTTCGCCTGCCTCTGACCATGGCAGCAAGTGCGGGCACCGCAAGGAATCGAATTCCGTACGTCTGTCTTCCTCGACACTAGACAAGTGTTATGAAGAGGTGGTCCTCCACGCATTCGTTTTGACTGCAGGTGTTTCGGCTGACTGCCCGTTTTGTCCTGTCCCTGACTCGCCGCGTGACACCGGTGCCGTGGCCCGCAGGGAGGAGGAGGACCAGTGGGTGGAGGAGGTGAAGCTGGACGCGCACTCGGACTGGGTGCGGGACGTGGCCTGGGCGCCGTCGGTCGGCCTCAAGCGCCAGCTAATCGCCAGCTGCTCGCAGGACCGGCGCGTCATCATCTGGGAGAACGACGGCGTCGGCACCAGCTGGACGCCGCACGAGCTGCCCACCTTCCCCGACGTCATCTGGCACGTCAGCTGGTCGGTCGCCGGCAACATCCTGGCCGTCAGCGGCGGCGACAACAAGGTGGGCCGGCTGTCCCCTTGTACTGTCGTCCGATCGGTGCGCACAGTCGCGAAATTGCAGGCGGTACGAGTGAATCCGGAATGCAGCGAGACATCGCGTTGCATGGAATGTATTCTCACGGTGTGAAATCGGTGCAAGCATACGAAGTAAACGATTTGGCATAGCACGTCAAAGCAGCAGACTGAGATTGGCAGTTCAGCTGTTTTGCTGCTCCTGCGCGGTGCTCAAAGGCCAGTTGTTTCCATTTATGTAAACACGTGGCTGCCTGGTGTGTCCCATTATTCAGCTGGTGCTTCAGGGTGTCTGCGAGAGCTGAGTAAAACGCCGGGGAGAGCGGGTCGACATAGACGCCCAGTGACCGCTGCCGTCCGCCGCCCTGTCTCCTTACTCTGACAGTCTGACCGACCACCCCCGCCCCCTCCCCGCAGGCCACCCTGTGGAAGGAGACGCTGGAGGGCAAGTGGGTTTGCCTCAACGAGATCAACCTGGGCAAGGGCAGCAGTATGCCGGCGGACCAGGGCACCAAGACGCTGTGAGCCGGCCGGCGCCGGGCGGGCATCAACCTGGGCAAGGGCAGCAGTATGCCGGCGGACCAGGGCACCAAGACGCTGTGAGCCGGCCGGCGCCGGGCGGGCATCGCATCCGCCTGGGTCTGCCCCCCGCGGCGGTGGACGGACCCCGGCGCTGCCTCGAGCCCCGGCGGACCGAGCCGGCCGGGCTGCTGGTGCACCCGTTTTAGGGGGATTCCCCGTCATGAAAGCGCGCAGTCGCTGGCTTGTTATGCTCGTAATAAAGATGTATCTGCGGCGGGCATGTTACAGAATAAGTAACGCAGCAGCGGCCGCGAGTGACTGACACACCGCCTCTCCGCACCCACATGGCCGGCCCAAGGGGAAAGGGGAAGGGAGTTCGTGCTCTAACATCTTCGTGGTGTGAGGTTCATAGATATCGCATGGTTCAGTCGCATAGCACATGCACGGTCCCGTCGTCTTTGTGTGGGGTTATCGGGTTTCCTCGATGGGGGCCGGCTGTCATCCTTGGAGAAGGGGGTCGTCAGTGATCACTGGCGCGGACGGGCTCGGTGCCCTCTCGGGCCCAGCATATATACAAGTTTGCAGTCAGAGGGTTGTACCGTTATATTCCGGATTACTTTGTACATTAAGCACACATACACACGTACGACGCCACGTAACATTGGAATGGTAGCGCTCCTTATGGAGTCCCACGGGTCGGTACAGAACAACTTGTCTTTGGCACGAATAGGATCATCCCGCTTCGGGGGTAACATCAACGTAGCAGTGGCAGCCGACGCACCGACCGCGGCGCTGGGCCCGGGGGCCACCGGGCTATACATCCACCTCGCGGGACCGTGCCGAAATAAAAACGACTCATCCGGCGGCACGGCTTCCGCACCGGCCCCAGACCAGTCCAGCGCATCCCTCCCACGCCTGCGCGCGGATCGCCCGTGACTCAGGCAGGTCAGGTCGTGGTTCTATCGCGTCGAAGGTGGGCTCCCGGCGCAGGCCGTCCAAAATCCGGCCACGACACCTGCACTTCTCCCGTCCCCAGGATCTCTTAGGCCTGCCCAGGTAACCACAGGATGCATACCAGTCACTTACAATTGCGTGTCTGTGTGACCTGACCTGACCTGACCTCAGCTAACCCACG